TGATCATCCAGAGGTTCTTCCAGTAGAACTGTTATCAGAAAAAAGAAAGAAGACTTGTATTCAAAATTCGTCAGCATGTTTATTGTTCAGAAAATTTATTTTGTTAAAATTAAATGTGCGCAAATGATGATCATTTCCGAATTTGTTAAAAGAAAAATCACTACGAAAACAAAAAAGACTCAATTGTACAAGGTTTTATTATGCTAACATCACTCAAAACTTTAACCATTTATAATCCTTGTACAATAGAATAAAAATCTTGATTTTGGTCCTAGACCCCAGTGGTTGATTTTCCTAGTCCAACTCCCATATATGAATTTTTTAAAAATATCTGGTAAACCAAATTTATATTAATATGAAAAATCTGTTAAATCCGTTAAACCGAGATAAAATTGTTATAGAAAAATTTGGTTTTGAAAATTTATCCGCTAAACCCCCAAATCTGCTATACCAAGACTCATTGTGTATTAGTTTTTGTAAATATAAAACAAAAAAAATTTTTTATTAATGAAGAATGTGAAATAAATTATCCACGTTCTTCCAAATATTTCTAATATTAGAAATATAATTATGAAATACTATGTACCAACCAGTCGATAGTAAAGAAAATATTATATATATAATCAGAAATTATTATTATTACATATAAAAAAAAATAAAATCGATTATTACTTACCATACTATATTTAGAAAATAAAAAAACGATTCTCATTGCCTGATTTATTTATTATTAACAACTTCAAATTTATGATCTACCGTGTTTCATTCCATTTATAAATTTAAGCGTACAACATGATGATCTTGAATATATTGAATTTTTAATGTAACTGTGTTAGCCGAAAATTTATGAGTATCATTAATCCTCTTTTTTTAGATCACACCATTACTACTGTTGCTAATTTAAATTTCTTTCTAAAGTTTTATTTTTCAATTGTTGAAATTTGTTATAATAATATTTGCAAATGGCAAGTTTTTAAATCTTTATACATAATAATGATAATGAATTAAGAGAAAGAAGAGTAGAGTAAATATAGATTGTGCTCCACTTAAATCTACTTTGATGTGTATTTAATGCTAGACTTTTAGAAATATAAATTATATGTAGTCTTGAATTTTATTAGAATTTAAACATTTTACAATTATTATCAAATAAATATATACATTCTCATTCACACACACATATATGCATGAACATGTTTACATTAATCTACAAATACATTCACAAATTCTTAATAATCTATTCCCACAAAATTATTCTAGGTTGACCAATTAAGTGAAGCACAAATCACAGAATTTAAAGAAGCATTTTCTTTGTTTGATAAAGACAATGATGGTACATCACCACCAAAGAACTTGGTACAGTAATGAGATCGCTTGGTCAAAATCCAACAGAGTCAGAATTACAAGACATGGTCAATGAAATTGATGCTGATGGTAATAAGACAATTGACTTTCCAGAATTTTTGACAATGATGGCCAGGAAAATGAAGGATTCTGATTCTGAACAAGAGATAAAAGAAGCTTTTAAAGTTTTTGATAAAGATGGTAATGGTTTTATTTCTGCTGCTGAACTAAGACATGTTATGACTAATCTCGGAGAGAAACTTACTGAACAAGAAGTTGATGAAATGGTAATTATTATTGAGATTTGCATACGTATAATGAATAGATGTGGGTGAAAATATTTATAATTAATTTAAATTTTTATTTATTTAGATTTGTGAGGCAGATGTTGACGGTGATGGACAAATTAATTATGAAGAATTTGTTAAAATGATGATGACAAAGTAACTGATTCATTTCCATCATCTTTAACTTTCTCTCCTTTTTCCATTTTCTCCATCTTCTTCATAAAAATTTTTGTAAATACTTGAAACCTTTTAAAATAAATCTTTTTTTTCTTTTTACTTCTTCCATTATTTAATTAGTGAAATAATGCGCAATTTTGTAAAAATAAATTCTTTCTGTCATATAGTTATCACATATATTTAATATACATATATATATGAATTTTTTATTCTCTTTCTATATTTCCCTCTTGTAAAAAAAAGGGAATTGCTATTTCTCACCTGTGGTGATTTTCACCACCTAACCCTAACTCCGCCCCACGCAAATTTAATTCCTTAGGTGGTGACAATCACCACCGGTGAGAAATAGCAATTCTCAAAAAAAAAAAACATCAAAAAAATAAAAATATATTATTATTAAAAAAAATTGGTCTTTGAGGAATTAATTAGTAAAATGGAATTCTGGATGACGATGAACTTTCATTTATAACTTCAACATTTCCAAAATAACAATTATTTAAAACTATAACATAAAAAAAACTAGAGAAATAATAAACTCTCATAATATAATGTATTAATAAATCAACAGTAACAACTGATTTTGTGATGAAAAAGAATTTGTAGCTATTCTCTGGATAATTATCAAAATTTATAATATTTAATTGCCCTCCACAACAAATTCATCAACGTTTTTGTTTCAATAGTCATGTTGAGGTTTTAATTACATGTATCAAAGCCATCAACTGCTTTAATTGACAACTTCTGAACTCTTTATTATTATATCTAATGTATGCTGTGGTTGACTGAAACATTCACATGGCTTTAATTTTATTGTCTCACAAGGATATTTTCTTTGCTAGAAATTGTAAAGTGAGAGGAAAAGATTGAATACACTATTGTTTACTTTGCACCTTTTGCTTATGATGAGTAATGATGTGCAAGGAATTTTCTTGTTAAATTGCAATTATGTTGACAATAAATCATTTTGGATAAATTGGTTCTTTATGCTGACAATTGTTGTAGATAGACTGAATACAAAGGGAATCATATAAATTCTTCTAACATGTATTATATAATTCATCATTATAAAGGTTCATTACAGCTTTCAATGAGTTTGAAACTGAGACAAATTGGCATACATTTATGCTCTTGCTTAAAGATGATATTATTCATAAGCATTGAATTGGGCTATATAATGATTGTGAACTTTAATTTTTGCAATTTGGTTTCTAAGCCAGTTCATTTTTTTACCTAATATTGTTGATAAGAATATTGTTAGCATAAGAACCAATAGAGACAAATGCTTGTTTGGATGAATTTGACACTTTATATAATAGCCAAAGAAAGAACCAATCTAGTGGTTGTTACACGAACCGTTCTAAAATTTTTGGGGTCATTGAGAAAATGAGTCAATTTTTTTGGTACACAAAATTTCATTAAAACAAAAATGAGGATATTTCTAAGCTGAAAAGATTCGCCACCTCAAACCACATATAACTGCATTATTATCTCAAAAATGACAAAAAGAAATCGACTCAATTTCTCAGATGGTTCCCTATTTAGATGTTTGATTATTAGTAGCATCTTTAGAAGAAGAAGAGAAAGAAAACGATTATAGGATATGATAAGAACAAAAATTTATAACAATCTTCTAGGACTTTTAAAAGAATCTGATTCTTATGCAAATCACAGTTGGAATAAATCATGATATTAAAATTTATAGAGCACATTATCCACAAGATCACCTTATTTCAATACTCCTTTATTAAATAATTTAATTAGAAAATCTGGCAATGGAATTATTTTCTTTGAATGGAAAAATAGTTCTCCAAAAACATTTATAATTGTTTTAAAGTAAGCTTTTAATATTTAATAGTTGATTTGCCTAACAAGCAATTAATAACAATAATTTGCTTATCTTCTTTCTATAGTAAGTTGTTTTATAAGATACGTTTATGATGGAATTATCAATCTTTATCCAATTGAAGCTCCTTTGGGCTTGCAACGAATTATGTCCAAATGAATTGTTTAAGAAATTGCAGGAATTGTTGACCAAAAAAGCAATGGATCGCATTCATAACAATATGAATCATTAAGATTAGCGTAATGAAGTGATTTATTGCTCAAATCTATATTAGGAAAAAAAAACCAATTTATAAATAGAGAATTGGAATTATGTCCTTCAATGGAGAATTGTCTAAATGCTGAATTAGTAACAAGAAATGATATTGTTGAATGGGATGATAGAGATTTTATGAAACTAAAAAGATATACATGCTTGAACTAATTAGATGTTATCAAATTTCTTCAAATGATTTCTATAATTATGTCAAATCCTTTGAGTAAAAATAGTTGTTCTATTAAATCACCCAAAAGTTTTTTGTCATACTAAAACAATTTTATTTGATGCGATCTTATACCAAGTCGCATACACTACCTCCACAAAAGTTTCGGTCACCCCAAATTTATTAATTGCACAAAAATGTATAATAATAATATAAAATTTTATATCTCTAGCTTTTATGAGTAATAAAAAAACAAACTCCCGATCATTTTTGGAAAAAGAAAAAAATGACCTTAAATTTTTTAAAAAAATATTAAAAAACTATCCAAAATCATGTAAAAATATGAATATCTAGGGCACATTTTTGTGCAATTAATTAATTTGGGGTGACTGGAACTTTTGGGAAGGCAGTGTATGCAGAAATTTTAATATTAATGTTTGCAATTTTCAAATTATTAATTATTAATTATTATATAATAATAAAGGAAGAATAATAAAAATAATGAAAGATTTAAATGTTATTAGTTGCAATATTAGTTGAAACAAACACCAAAAAAAATTATTTGCTTGATACAACTTGCTCGATCGTTCCTTCCTCTACTATTACTAAATTACTACTAGGGTATTAGTATTATCGCTGTTATGATTAACTATGTCACTGATATTGTATCAGTTTGGTCATATTTTATCATCTTAACATCTGTGTCAACTTTAGTTTTCCTTTCCTTTTGTTGTAGCAGAAGCATCAACGAATTCTTGTTGTGATCCAGTACCTGCATCCTCAAATTCGACATTACCTTTACCAATACTAGCCAAAGCTTTTCTTTTGCTTGCTTTTGTGATTGTAACAGTAGTAGCATTAACGGTATTAGAAACTTCTTGGACCTTTAATTTACCCCTGGTAACATTTTGCATCGTATTATCATCATTAAATCTTGGTGATATTAAAATTGTAATAGCGTCGGAAAATTCTCCTGCTTCTGTACCAGCAACAATTGCGCTAGACTTAGTTTATTAGCATTGGCGCGCTTTATCGCCAGTTGCTGCTTTTTCATTAGTCCATACTAGTTTTAATGATGGTGTGTTAATGTAAGTATTAGCAGTACTGGTAGTGTTAACGGAAGCAGTAGTAAAAGTTGATGGTTTCATTTTTATGTTTATGTCAAAAAGTTATTTTCATCTTTATGATTACATCAGACTTATCATTATTATAAATGTCTATAAAACAAACAGTAAACGTTATTATTTATAAAGAAGAATGAACCCCACTTATTTTTAAGAGAAATTTTCTATCAAAAATAAACAATCTTTCTACATCTACGCTTATTCTAATTATATCGACGCATCCACTACTTCTAGCGTTATGTGAATGAATATTCGCAAGATTTTCTTGTTCTTTATCGATTCATCCACAACAATTAAGCGAATCTTTAAATTTATCCATCAAGCGGTAAAAGAATATACTATAAATATTTATTTTGTAAGCATATTTATCCTTTCATCTGACTAGAATATTTTTCTAATTCTATCAGTGATTTGTTTTCCTGCAAAGGATTATATGGAACTCCTTAAATATTTTTAACCTCATTGATCGAATGTTCCTTCTTCAAAATACATAAAAAAGTTTAATGGAGAAAAAATTTTTATTTTAATGATTTTTATTTATTAATTTAATTACGAATTAAAATCTTAAAAAATAAAACCATCAAATTTCTAATAAATAATGAATTATTCATAAATTAAAAAAAAATCTACTAAATTTGAAAGTCAAAAATAAATCTTAATATAAAATTTTTTTTGCATATTTAATAAATCTTAAAATTCTTTCTTACGATTAATATTATTCGGATTCGGGTTGAATTTCATTTTGGTAAAAAGCTAGAATAATAGCTCTAACATCAGATCCCAAGCCAAGAAATTCAACGTTCTTCCAAACTTTATTATAGTTTTCTAATCTTAATCTATCATATAATTTATCAGAATTTCCTGTATATAAGTATTCTAATAACCATTCAAATGTTTCAGGGCTTGGAACATGAAGATGAATTATATCACCAGATAATGTTTCAAAAATTTTACGAAAACATATTGATTGAAAAATAAGATATTCTTTATGAATGTGAAAAATTTTTGGAAGACCAGTGATGTGAAGTTGAATGGCACATTTTGATTTGTTGTTATAGAAAATTGGCGAAAGATGATAAAGTTCTTGTAGAATGAAGGATACAGGAATTCCGGTATCGCTTAATTTTTGATTATGAATATGAAGGTGATGATGGCCATTCGGATGGTGTAATTGATGATTATTGCGACGTTGTAATTGGTGATTTAATTGATGGCGGTGTTGAAGTTGATGAGTATTATTACGACGCTGTGCTGATGTTGTAGATACTGTCATAATTTTAGCTTTTCAAAAAATTAAATTTCCAAAAAAAAAACTTGCAAGTAAAAGTTTTTTTTTTGAGAAAGGGAGAGCGAGAAAGAAAGCGATATTAACAATAACTTTTATTATAATATTTTTCTTTTAATAAAAATACTTGTGACTTTTCTTTTTGATACAATAATAATATGATTATGATTACGATTATGATATTTTTTAAATTTGGACTGAAGGTGATGATAGAAAGCAAAAATAGGTTCATTCATCGTTGCTTTTATACTGATCTAAAATAATCTTTGATAACGATTAATATTATTATTATAAATTTTGTTGATATTGTTTTCTAATTAAAAATAAATAAGTAAAATCCAAAAAATTTAACGTGTAAAACAACAATAAAAATTTAATTATGACGATCTAATTGTATGTTGCCTCCAAAGAACAATTGTTTATAAAAAAAAAAGAAAAGCAATGTTTCATTACAATATATTAACATAATAATAATATTATTAAAAATTTATTATGAAACAATCCCAAAAAAAAATATTATTTTTTTTACCGTTTCACAATGTTTGTTTTCTTTCCAAATATATCTTTTATCTGACACTCAACGTACACAAAGATTAATTGATATATATGTACACAATAGAACCCAAATTCATCAAATTAAATTAAATTGAAAGAAACCCAGATTTATGAATGAATATATATTAATATATAATAAGTTCGAGGGGCATAGCATTTATTCAAAATATGTATAAATATAGCATTCATTCAAACTTTAGATAATAATATAAAATTATTTACATTCATTCAAATACATAATGTGATGACTTACTAATTTGGAATAATTATTCTTTATATTAATTAATTGAATAATGTTATTTTTATGAAACGTTTTTTCAAAATTAAACATTATAGGGGTCTTTTTCACATTTGCATATATATTTACAAACAAATAAATAAGATACGACATATTAAATGTATCAGAGATGTTTGAATTTTCGAGAATTGGGATACGAGTCCATCCAGAAAAAGACCGTCGTACACAAAAAGAGTCGCTTTGAGACATCTTATTGTTGTCTACGTAGGACCTTCAGGTTCAATGTATGAGATGGGTAGCATTTTTTATTTTTTATACAAAATTACCAAAATAATGATTTTTAAAAAATCATGCATGCACAGTCTTGAATTGGAAGTTACTTTCATGCACCTTCTAACGTCATTCCCTATCATAATTTACCAAACCGTTGGATAATGTCATCATAAAATTTAATTGCGTCATCATCTATTAACCTCTTCTATTTGAATTCTACCCAATTCTCTTCGAATTATTAATATTGTATTAATTAATATCTTATTTCTATAAATAATCTCTCTCGTTCGCTCAAGAGCAAACACATGTATATTATATTAATATTTTGATATGACATAACATCTGCAATTTCTTCCATTAGTCTTTGATTGAAATTTTTTTCACTGGTAAAACATCTTTTTCGCTAATGTAAACTCTATAGATTGTATCATTTAATTATATATAAATCATTATATTTGTATTAATTTAAATAACAATTAATGCAATTAATGTCATCAATTCTTCTTTTTAAAACTAATAAAGTTGTTCCTTTATTTCTTTGACTTGATGCTTTCTTGCCATTTCAGTTTCTTTATTGCAACTTGATTATCTGACAAATAATGCAAAAAATATTTTTTTGTGATTGTAACCATTTTTTTAATCTGACTTGCATCTTGCTACTACGTTCATTAATATTTTTTATTGAGAAATTAAAAATTCAACCTTCAAATGTTCTATAAGATCTATTAGGTTACTATCCACCTGCAATATTTCATTTGACTAAAAATTATTTTCAACTGGAAAGTTTCGTGAGTTAATTAAAACAAAACTTGATTTTTATTGCTGAATATCTGCATATTATGTGACTGAGTTTTCGTCGCTTTAAATCACTCAAAAAAACCTACATAGCGAGCATTCATTGATAATGTAAACAAAGATTACGTTTGATAAAATTATTCGTTTGATAAAAATTTATCATGCATCGAGTTTTCATCTATCAGTGTGATATTAAAATTATATCGAATCCCTATGCAACTGCTCTAGAGTGGGATATTCATTAATACTGGCGTATAATAATAATAAACTTTCAAAAGACTTTTAGCTTTAAACAAGGGGCATCCCAGCTCACTCAATTTTCGGAAAAAGAGTATTTATTGCAAGTAATAGTAATCTTCAATTAAACGTTTACAAAAATAGACACGAATTTTTTTTACTTTTTTGCTAATTAAACCTTTGAGCCAAAGATTGATGCAATTTTTTGAATTTTTTTATTTATATTATTATTACAATTTTCGTCACCGTCGTTTTTTCGTTACACACAGTATTAGTATATCAATATTAATATTGATAGAATTTTTTTTCAATGCAAGGTATTTTCCTTTCTAACGAATAATGGAACTTGTTATAAAATTTGTTAAAAGCTGAAATGCATGGATTTTTCTTAACAAACTATGTGATTTTTTTGTTAAAAGACACAACTGATGAAAGAATTATTGATAATGGTGGTGATGATGATGATGTTAGATCATCGGCCATCCAGAAGTCATCAAGTGCTACAATTTCAACCCCAAAGTCAAATCCAATATATTCAGCAGTATATGCTGGAGTGCCAGTTTATGTGAGTTTCTTGTCAAAGATGTTGCTGTTATGCGTAGACGCCCGGATTCTTATTTGAATGCAACACAAATTCTAAAGGTGGAAGGCCTGGATAAAGGTAAGTGCTCAAAAATCATTGAAAGAGAAATATTAACAGGAGAACATGAAAAAGTACAAGGAGGTTATGGAAAATATCAAGGAACTTGGTATGTTAACATAATAACCAAAATAAATTATAAAATAAATCTTTTTTCCTTTTGCACATATATGATCAATTTCACCATCACCAATTTTTTTTATTATTTAGGACTCCTTTTGAAAAAGGCAAAGAACTTGCTACGAAATATGGTGTCCTTGAGAGTTTATGTCCTATCCTTGGATACATATCACCAGAACATGATACTCCTTATTTGTCATCTCCATACACTCCAACTAAAGAACAAGCTATGGCAGCTTTACATATGTAAGCTAAATCTAATCAATCTAATGAACATTCCAATAATTATAGTAACAAAATTAATATTCTTGACACCATTGATAATATTACTATTGAGAATAATAATGGTGATGATGATGGTGATATGATTTTAACATATTCAGAACCCGCTAGTGAATCAGCAGCAACAGACAATTCTTCGTCACCTGAAATTGGTGAGAGTGAGCAACTCGGGGATATTTTAATGGCAATATTTTTGAATGAGAAACTGGAATTAATACAGGATTTGTTGGTTATAAACATGGTGATGGGAATTTTGCAATACATTGGGCTGCGTGTTTTGGAAGACTAAAAATCTTGGAAATGTTGTTGAATAGAGGTGCTAATATACAACAAGTGAATTATGATGGGGGGACTGCTTTAATTAGATCTGTATTTGTGACAAATAATTATGATTCTCAGTCATTTTCACAAGTGGTAAAACTATTTCATGACACAATCCCAATTACTGATAAAGATAATTGATCAGTATTACGTCATATTGCAATGTCCTCAGGTGTTAGAGGACATGAAGCAGTATCAAAATATTATATAGATTGTTTAGAGAAATGGTTTCAATCAAATGTTTGTGGATTTCTTAATACTATTCTGAATATTCAAGATAAAAATGCATTGTGTATTGCTGCAAGAGTAGGGAATAATGAATTGGCTGAGAAATTGGTCATTATGGGTGCAAATGCTGATATTCAAAATAAGCTTGGATTGAAACCTTCTGATTTTGTTTTTAGTCAACAAGATGGTGATGATGAAGTTCATGTATGTATGTACATGTATATATATTTATTATTAAATTATTGATATTGTTTGATATATTTTTTGAAAATAAAAAAGAGCATTGATTTCTTTACTCAACCATTTACATCATTTGTTAATAATCATAGAAAATCTAGAGAGGTTGTTTTAGGTAAAAAAAAAAAAAATGGTTTATTTTTTTAAAACTTATTATATATAATAAATCAGATAATTAATTTTTAGCATTACAAAAACTTGTGGAAGATGCAGAGAATGAATGGGTGGTACAGCTTAGAGCTAAAGAGGATGAATTATTTAATGCTCAAAGTAGATTTAATGATTTGACAAGACAATTTATTGATTTGAAGTGATCATTACAATATTATCATCAAAATGAAAAGGAATATAATAGCATAGAAGAATATTTAAAGTTTCTGAAACAAGTAATTAATGAAGTAGAAGAAGATAATAATGTTGATGTATATTCTATGCATAGGAAATGTAGTGTAAATCCTGAAGATAATGCATTATTATTAAGGAAGCAATAATAATATCAATAATAATAGTAATAATAATGATGATGATAATAATGATACTATATCAACAACAACAATTATTTCTAATATAACACCAGCATCAACACCATCAAATCAACAGAATAATATTGCACCATTATCACAAGTTTTATCATCTGAATCTATCACTACCACCACCACTAATAATAATTTAAATTCATCATCATCATTAGCTTTATTGGATGATATAATATCATCTGCTTCCACAACACCACCACCATTAACACACATAGAATCATTTCAAAATAAAAAAATTGACATTCCATTAATATTAATTACACAACCAACAATTGTAACATCATCATTAACATCAACATTAACAAACAATTTACACCAAGTAGTAATGGATTCATCAGAAATGGCTGTTGATGTTGAAATGACTACTGTTAGTAGCAGCAATGAAAATGAAATGTCTGAAAAAGAATCAAAAATACTTCAAGCTCAATTATCAGCATATCAATTTGACAAGGATTTACTTCAATGTGAAATTGAGAAATTACAAGAGAAGTCATTAAATGCAGAGTTGCAATATAAACAAATTATTTCTACTTGTTGTAAAATTAATCTTGATAAAGTGGATGATTTTGTGGAAACTATACTGGGAGAAGTTGACAATGATCTTGAAGATGAGTTTAGTTTGGGAAGAATAGGAGAAATATTAGGTAGATTGGACAAAGAAGCTTTGCAATTATAGTGTGAGGGAGCAAGCCCTTTTTTTTCATATTTTTAATTTATAGTAGATATTCAAATAGATATATTTACCTATTATTAAATAATAATAAATTTCATTATAATTTTGGTGATTGTATTGCTTTGATATAAAGCATATAATTTTCTTTTAATAATAATAATTAAATAACTGATATATGTTGTCATTATTATTATGCATTGGGAGTATTGGATGTGTTAAAATTCCTACATTTTACACATAATTTTAATTTAATTTAACTGTTCTGAGCAAAAGGAAAATTCATTTCACAAAAAAAGTAATTGTTATTTTCATAGAAATATTTAATATATGCAATTTATTTAGATTTATACAAATGAAAATGAAAATGAAATCTTGTACATGTATATATATATATGTGTGTTATAATCTATAAAAGGAAAATAAATAATTGCAAAAATTTACATTGATTTTGAAAATATGCCGAAAAAAAAAAAATAACATGAAATGCAAAATGTAAGCATATAAATAAGATGAATAAATATGTGTATGTGTATGTGTATGTGTATATGCATATGTATGTGTATATGTATATGTATGTATATATGTATATGTATGTGTATATGTATATGTATATGTATATTTGTGGATGCAAGTATATATTATGCAATAATTAAAAATATATGTCTACTTGTCTAACTAATCATTTGCAATGTTTAATGATGATTATTAATTTTATGATGATGATGATGATGATGATGATGATTGTGATTATGATGATTATGATTATGACTATGACTATGATTATGATTGTTATGATTATGATTATGGCTATGGTTATGATTATGATTATGGTGGCTAAGATGATAATTATAATTATGATGATGGTGGTGATGATGGTGATGATGGTGATGATGATGATGATGATGAATATTAGATTTTTTAGTAAATTCATAAATTCTGTCATAAAAACCATCATCAAGATCAATAATATTAGGTGATGATGGTGTAAACATTAACAATGTATTACTATTATATGATCTACCAGGTAAAGTACGTTTCATTTTTTCACTTTTATCACTATTATTATCATTACAAAAATAATGTTTTGTCATGTAGGAAGTATGTGGAGTTGACATTTGACATAATCTTTCCTGGATATCTTCTGGTAAGATCAGTAGACCAGCAGCTAAATTTACACAATATTGTTGATCTTTAATTGATGATGATGATGGTGATGATGATGATGGAATGACGATTGTTGTCATTGGAATTGTTTTATCAAGAGTGTTAGTGGCAGAAATGGTATTCAATGACATTTTTAATATTGATATTTCTGACTTTGAACCCAATGATGGTGATAAACTGTTAATGGTATTTAGTGGATGGATTACTTTTGTATTATTACCTTTAGAAATGTTAACTTTAATCTTTGAAGACTTTGGAGAAGAACTGATTTGTGAATTATTGTGATTAATTTTCTTCTTGTTGTTGTTATTTATTTCATCCCAATAGACACGATTTTTTGCCAGAGCATTAAGAAAGATTGTAGCTTGATTTAGGAATAAAGCAAATGCTTTAAAATAAGGTTTGACAACAAAATCGCTAAAACCAAGACTTATTTGTGACTGATAAGCTTGTTCTCTGTTCATATTTGGAGATATAGGCAGATTTTTTTGATTTTCCAAGTCACCTTGTTTGAAAAATTCTTCAACAATACAATCGGACCAACGTTTGGATATATCCCATGGACGTACAGCATTGCTCAAATCAGCAGCATGGAGTAAAACTTTTAATAAAATATCACGTTGATATTTATTCAATAATTTTGATACTGCCGGAGTTGTTGAAAATAATTTTGAAGGTGGATTTGTAGATGTTGAAAAATATTCAGGTGAGGAAACAATGGAGAAATTTGATGAGTAATCATCATCACTATTATTGTCTAATTCTTCATTAAAATATTTATCAGATGAACATAGAGATGATGATGGAAAAGAATAATAAATGTTTGTAGAAGATGATGAATTAATAAGATCATGCAACGATTCCAATAGTTCATAATGATTCACCATATCAGTTGCTAAAATTATATTCCCTATTAATGTTTTCAAAGTTACGTCAGTTTGTTCTGGATCCATTCCTCGGAAATCATCGTTGTGTAAATGACGAAACAATTCATGTTTTGACAATAACTCCATCGTCAATGTGCAAGAATGATTTTCTAATACGGATTGATTATTGTATTTAATCGCTAGAGATGTCCTTGCATTAACCTGGTAGGCATTATTTAGACCGGGATGTCCTATATCGTGACACAATCCAGCAATCATCAAACAAATTGAATCCAAGGGAGTTAAATGTTTGGCAGCACCTAAATCGACCAACATGTAGTATAACATGGCCACAACATCCACTGCATGGTAGAACGAATGATAATCAGTTGTAAAGTAGCCTTTCTCAACATCGATAATAAAATCCAACATTTCTGACGCTTGTATTTGTAAACAACCGCTCAAATTCAATTTCACCAACATACCCAACACTATACCATATAACTCTGGCATTGACCAATCCCATACATTAAAGTACATTCCAGTGTCTGAAGATAATTTATCATACAAAAATTTTAACATTGTCTACAAAAAATGAAAGGGGGATGAGAAATAAAAAATTTAGTAATGCATTAATATATATAATATTAGATTGAAAATAAAAGAGATTTACACTTTCACATATTATTAATTTGTCAGAAGGTAAAGAGTTGTATTTTAATAAAAGCATGTTTTAATTTTATCTAATATATTAATAATAAAAAGTATAAAATTTCTATTTTCAAAATGTTGTAAAAAAAATTAACGTGGTTTTTTTTTCTAAATAAATAATCAAAAACGATGTAATGAAATTTTTTAATTAAGTAAACAAGGATATGATACGGGGCAACACTAATTTTGGCTTTAGTGCAAACGAGGAAAAATAAAATTGATAAATCGGGGATTTATTTGTATGATTTTATTTTCCATATTTATTTATCTCCCTAAAATAAACCATTTTGCAACAAAGAATTTTCGATATTACGAGAGAAAATAAAGTTGATACTTATTTATTGAATAACTAACTGATCATGGTAGAAATTTGATTATATCACATACATCTCTAACAATATAATTACTAGATGGATTTCATGTTAATATTAATATATGTTCATGCAAATTGTAAGCCCGAGAAAATTTTCTTAAAGATCTTTTCCCCTCATTATCATGTCTTGATAGTAATATACACTTGTTTTCCACATTATTTTGCCTTTGGTATTAACCTATTGAATGAGCCTATTTCTTACTGTTCTTTTCTATTGATTATTTTCCCGTTTGACAACTATTAAAATTAGGAATAATGATGATATCAAAAGCATAAATAATCCACAAAGCAGAAAGTGTGTTTTTGTATTCTTGCACAAACACGACTCATAGAATTAGCTGGGTGGGACTTTGATTACGAAGGAAATAAGGAAGGTTATCCATCTTGAAAATCGATAACTTCTGGCCAAGAACACTGAAAATTCTGCAAATTTGATCAATCATACAATTGCGTTAAAAGGAAATAATGATAATGATGACAAACATTTCTATATATAGTATATATATACGTTGCCACATATCCTTGTTTACTTAATTAAAAAATTCATTATATTTAGAAAAAAAAAAACCACGTTAATCTTAATATTATATTACTAATTATCATCATTGAAGGAATTCCACCAACATTATTAAGAGAGATTTCTGCTCCACAATCAAGTCTAACTTGTTTAATATTAAGTGCTACAAATTCTCCAAAATAATTTTTTGATTTCATTATTGTAACTATTTTCTTTTCTTATTCTTGCCCTTGCCAAGATTTTCTAATTTCAAATAAAGTTCAGATAAGGATCCTGGTCACAAGGTCTGATCATATAATAACAAAGGTATTTGAAACTCGTACATCCCTTTTTGTATCACGATTTTTGGAGTTTTGTACAATGAATATTTTTGAGTGAAAAAGCAAAACGTACACTATTACTATTATTATATATTTTCAAGAAAATCTTAATCTGTACAACAAAGCTTTTATAACTCGCATTGAAAATTTTATTTTCGAATCTCCTTATTTTTTGTATTCATATTTTTTCTGCTTCTGCCAATTGAGCATCTGTAAGATGTGAAATCAATTGGTGTTAATTTAATAGATTTTGACAAACATTTTAATTTACCAACATAATGAATAGCAATGTCAAAAAAAGATTTACCATCGTTGTGCGATTCATATTTTTTGTCTTTAATTGTTCATTTAACAATTTTCTTGAATCTGGTATTTCATTGTTTTTTTATTAGGAGTAAGACTTTGAATGAATCAATAAAATTAGAACTGAACCGAACCGATTTGAATTACCAAATTTCTGATTCGTTTCGCTCGAATCGAACACGAATCGTGTTTTTATTCGATTCGATTCAAGCCTATAAACAATCTGATTTAATATTTATATTTAAATTTAAAACAATGAATTGCGCAACTGTGAATTGTATTAATTTTTTGTTATATATTAATATTAATATATAGAATTTCTATTCGTAATATAAATTCTTATTATTATTCGCTTTATTATTATTCGTTTTATTTATTCGAATACTCAATTTCATAACAGATAAGGCTCCGAACGAATCGAACGAATCAATGAAATTCGAGTCGAGTCGAATCAAATTCGAATTGTACTCTGATTCGATTCGAGCTGATTCGAATATTAAATATATATAATTTGATTTGAACTGGTTCGATTCAATTTGATTTGAACCAGTGTTGTGACCAGAAACTCTTTTGGCTTCCCAAAACGTTTCGGAAAATGAACTTACACTAAGCAGAAAACTAAAACTAGTCCTAAACCTAAGCATAAACTACTAACCTAAACTAGTTTCGGGTGGTTTCTGTTAGATCCTGTTTCGGGTCTTCCTTAAACTCAGAGTTTCGGGTCACAACATTGATTTGAGCTGATTCAA